TACCCCCCAACCCCAGAGACACCCCTCCCCATCCCTTCAACCCCCCCATCCCCAGAGACACCCGTCTCCTATGCCTCCACCCCCCCCAGCCCCAGGGACAGCCCTCCAGCCATTATCTATCTATCTATCTATCTATCTATCTATCTATCTATCTATCTATCCCCATACACCTCATCTATCTATCTATCTATCTATCTATCTATCTATCTATCTATCTATCTATCTATCTATCCCAAGCACATCTGTTTCTCTCTCACACACACACAATGCCCTTTTGCTTGGAGGTGGGGGTGGTGGAGGGGTCCTTTGGGGTCAGTCTGGGGTGAGTGAGGGGAGACAGGTATGGAGCCAAAGGAGGATCTGGTGGGTCTGGGCACAGTCGGGGGAGTTACACTGTGTGTGTGTGTGTGTGTGTGTGTGTTCGCACGGGTGTGCACACAAGTGAGTCTGCAGGTGGGTGTTTGTGGCGTGTGTGTGTATTCAGGGTGCTTGTGTGTGTCTGGGACTGTGATTTTTCTGTGCATCTGCCTGTCTGTCTCTTGATGTTGTTTACTTGCACACACGTTACAAGTCCCGGTTGGTGTGTGTACGTCTGTGCGTGCGCAGCTGTGTTAGCTTGGGGTGGGGCATGCTGGAGCAGCATCAGTGTCTGTGTGTCCGTGTGTGTCCGTGCCTGTGCATGTTTGTGTTGGGCTATGCGCGAGTGTGTGCCTGAAGATGTGTGTTTGTGTTGGCGTGAGTGTGTCCTTCTGTGTGCGACAAAGAAACAGCTGCAGGTCCCTGGAGGGAGCGTGTGTCACTGTATGTGTGTATGTGTGTGGTGTGCAGTATGATGGGAGGGGTGGAGGAAGGGCTGATACATGTTTGCACGTATACTGATCAGTGCACACACTGGTGCACACACTCTTGCTTGTGCACACACTGACGCTTGCACACACGCTGACACGCTTGCACATGCACTGACACACACACGGCTTTCCCAGTGGGGCCTGTTCTGGCTGGGATCAGCTCCCTCCCATTGTTGGAGTTAATGAGCTGCTTAGCGGGCTGCATCGCCATGGAGACAGATGGACAGTCGGGGCATCTTCAGGGAGACAGGCAGCGCATCGCCGTGGAGACAGGAGATAGACAGTCGGGGCTTCTCCAGAGAGACAGGCAGCCACCAGCTCCACACCTGCTAGGGCACAACACATGCACGGAGTGACACACACCCTCACAGCCAGACCTCACCCAGGCACCACACATCACCTGCAAGAGTTACCCGATGACAACCCCTGCCCAGTCATACCAGATACACCCGGCCAAGCACATGGGAGGCAGACAC